AATCTCGACCGCGCCCAAACACAAAAAAAAGGGAAGAAACTGAGAGAGATGGTAAAAAAGGCGAAAAGGGGGAAAGGGAGGGGAGGGAGAAGCGACAAGGGGTCCCGAAACCCCGGGAAGAAGAATTTTAAAAAAGCCCCCCTCACAACTTTCTATAGAAGCCTCCCCAAACCCGGTCAACCCCAGTGCAACCAAACCCTCTAAATCCCAAAAAAAACCCTGCCCCATCCAATTGGGCCCCCCCCCACTACATTACAAACTTCACCCCCCCAGCAACAACCCATAGTTCCTAACCCTCTCCCACTTTCCCCAACCCCCAAAATACTTTCCCCGAATACAAATCTTTTTGAAAAAAGTTGAAGGGTGGTATAACCCAAAAGCAGATGGAATAAAAACAAGTAGAGGGAGTGGCACAAAGAATCAAAGAGGGCATCCCCCCGACATAATAGCACTACAGAAAAAAAAAACTCACCGAAAATAACCCGATTCAATCTTTCCCTCCGGTAACAAATCTTCAGGAAAGGAAAAGAGGGAGGAGAGGGGGAGGGGGGTTCAAATGCTCATTAAAAACCAGGGGGGGTTTTGAGAAAATGGAAGGAAAGGGGTGGCCTGGGGGAAAGGGACTACTTAATAGGAACCCAAACCCGTCGAGGGGCATAAGTTTATTTAAATTGGGAGTAAGAAAAAACCCACCACAGAAAATGCAGGGGGGGCCAAGAGAAAAAAGTAGGGGCAACAGACAAAGAACAAAAACACTAGCCGAGGGGGCCAAAGGAAAAGCACACAGGGGGGAGCAAATTTTCTAGTTTTGGGGGATTTCAATCCCAAAGGGGATTTACCCGGGGAAAAACCCGGGCCCCATGGGGTTCCCCCAAACCCTGGGAGCCCCGATTATGGAAAGTTGGGGACTGGAGAACCTCATGATAACATGTTAGAGCCCCCTACCAGGAGAGAGGGGAAAGGGTGAAACCCGCAAGGTTGGACCTTGTATTTACCCTGGTAGTTGGACTCGAGGGGAATGTATGAAAGGCCCCCGGGGGCTGTGAACATGTGGTTCTGTGCTTCGCTACAATTTAGCCCAAGTGGGGGGAAAAAGTACAGGAAAAGGTGGGGAAAAAACCAAAAAATACCCAAAAGGGGAACTAATCAGGCAAGAGGGCCCTTCCCCGGGCATTAGTGGGAGAGGGAACTGACCGGAAAACCAGTACAAAAATTATGGGGCTAAGTAGCAACAAAAAACAAGGGGAGGGGGGGGGAGGTTTGTTTTCCCCAAAGGGGAAAAAGGAAAAAAATGGGGGGAACAGAACGAGTCCTTTGGGTTTACCAAAGGTGTAGGGACAAAAAAACTAGGGGTAATAGAGAATTTTTAAAAAAGGGCAAGAAAGAAAGGAACTAGGAAAAAAAAAAAAAAATCGCCGAAGAGCCCGAAACAATATGCACAATAAAAAGGGAGGGTCAAGGGCAATATGAAAAAGAATAGCCTCAAAAGTAAAGACCCGACCCGAAAACTGTTGTTTCAGCCCCAAAAGGGGAAAAAAACGTCCCCAAAGGGCCCGGAAATCAGAAAAATGGGGAAGGGTGATGGGGAATTTACAAAGGGAAAAACCGGGGAGGTAAAGTCAGGAGTCAACAAAAAATTTTTAAAAAGGTTTTACAGTGGAAACCGTAGGACTCCAAGAAAAAAAGAACAGGGGGGGACCCAGCAGTGCTGGATGAGAAAATATAACCAAAAGGGGGAGGTTTAAAAAAGCGCTATGCGAACTTGACACCCAAAAGGGGGGTGGGACCCCGACAAAATCTCTTTCCCTGGGGCCCTTTAAAAAGGGAAACAGAGAATTGTGTGAAGGGGCCCTTAACAAAGCTTCAACAAATCATTTTTAAAATTTGGGGCCCCCCTTTAGGTATGGGGAAAAAAGGCCCAAAAATGCCCCCAAATTTTTTTTAAGGGGGGGGAGACAGACATTTTAGGCACTAAAATACAGACCGTATTCTAAAAGGGAAATAAGCAAGGTCATGGAGAAAATCATCAGGAGGGGATTGGGGGGGCCCCCCCTGGAAAGAAAAAAAGTGTATAATTGACAACCACACGGTTTTAGGGAAGGAAAATCCTGTGTTCACAAAACCCACTAAGTTTTATACAAGGGGGACCCGAAGTAAGACAAGAGAGAGAGGGGTGGATCGATGCTATTTTTGGGCCGGGAAGAAGGCTTTCGACACAGTTTCCCCCAAAGAGGTTACTGCAAAAGCTAGAGGGGCCGGCACAATTTCCCGGGAAAAGGGAGGGAATGGGTCAAAAAATTTTCTGACCCGGGGAGGGAAAAAAACGAGTCGGTAACGCGACGAGGGGGGTCAGAGTGGGCCCCTGTGACCCAAACGGGGTTCCCCAGGGGTTTAAATCCCCAGGACCTGTGCCCGTTCTTTTTATAGTGAACGACAAAAACGGAAAGGGGGAAAATCAAAGTGTCCTTTTTTGCAGACGATTTTGAAAATTAATGAAAAAGAATCGATTTGGCGGGTCAGGCAGGAAATACAAAAAGATCTGGAAGGTAAAAGCCCGGTTTCCCGCAACTGGCTCCTAAAAAATTTTTAACCCCGCCAAATTCAAAATCATGAAGAAAAGGGGAAAAGGGGAAAGAAGACGCAGGGCACAAAAAGTTTAGATGGCCAAAGACTGCAAACCCCACAAAAAGGGAAAAAAATTGGGGTGGGGAAAAACCCCGACATAAACTCCAGGGCGCACACAATCAGATAACTGCTGCAGCATACGGGCCGGCAAAAAACCCACGGATGCGTTTTCCCATACCTCAGTAAGGATTCTTTAAGACCGTACACCTTACGCCCGGCCCCTACTGGGGTATGCAGACCCCGTTTGGAATCCACACCCCAGTCAAAACACGTCAAGAAATTAGAGAAAGTGCAAAGGTTTGCACCCAAAACTAGTCCCAGGCTACGGGGTTGTCCCATGAAGAAAGGTTGGGGAAATCGGCCCCGACACATGGGGGGCCAGGGGGGTCGGGGGGGACATGAAAACGACATATAAAAAAACTGGCGCGGAAAAAACGAGGGGACAAACGGGATGTTCCAGAGGGGGGACACAGACACAAGAGGCACAATTGGAAAATTGAAAGGATCAGATGAATCAAAAGGGGGTTTAGGAATATTTTTTCAGTCAAAAGTAGTCAGGCCCTGGGGAAAAAGCCCCAAAATTGATGTGGGTTTGGAGGGAGGAACCTAATAGTTTTAAGGCGAGGGATATAGAAGCCATGGGGCAGGGGGAGAGAGGGCCTATAAACAAAAAAACGAAGAGGGGGGGCAGGGGGCTGTGACCCGACCCCTGCAACCACAAAGGGGGAGTACAAATAGGGGAGTACACAACACACAAAACACACACACACACAACCATATAATATATATATATATAAATATATAAAATTATATATATAACCCCTGCGAAGCCGAGGGTTTTGCCCCATGTCCCTTTTTGGGCCCCACCTTTCGGGGGAAAGAAAAACACAAAAATGAGCTCTAGCCCCCGGGACCCTTTCAAAACTTACAAGAATTTACGCAACCCCGCAGAGATTGGTGTTTTAAACCCTTTAAACCGAGGGTAAACGGGGTTGGGTTTTTGGGGCCTTCCCTGCTAATTTCATTCTGCTCCCCCTTTCGCTCACCCTTTAGGGGGCCAAAACGACATGCTTCGAATCCTTCTTGTTGCATTGTTGGGTTAAAAATTTTCCCCCTGGTTCGTGGGGTTTCAGTAATATATATAAGCTGTCGTGAGGGGAAATTTCACCAAACGGGGATTTGAATAAAATTAGCTCAAAGGAAATCCATACCACCGATGTCTTCGGGATGAGGGTTAAAGACCTAGCTCTGCTGGGTGCGTCATTCTTGTAGGATTGCGTGGTCCCGTGGGCTAGAGGTCATGTGTGATTTACACTCACCATGGGGGGGGGCCCAAATGACATGGGTTCGAATCCTCGGCTAGTCGCAGTGTTGTTACTGATTAATCCCACTCGTTCGTGGTTACAGTAATATATATATATATATATATAATATATATATATATATATATTATATATATATATATATTGTATGTATATTAACCAAGTCTCAACGACCTAAAAAAATATAGCTCAATATCTTTCGCACTTTCGTGCATCGTCAGGATCTCCGAAGTGTTGCATGAAGGGAAATTCTCTCAAAATATAAACAATATAACATGATAACTTTGTTAATATTTACTGAACTATTTGAATGTTTGGTAAGAACGAGAGTAAATCAGTGTAAAAAAATAAAACACGTTGTGGCAGTTTCACTAGTCTGCGTTCCTCGAGGTAAGTTAATAATTGCAGTTATTGCTTCTAATAATTTCTCTTCAGTTTATGATAATTTGATTGGAAGATAATATGAAGCTACAGGTCTACGCTCCTGTAAAATTGGCTTTACATCTGCCACCCTCCATAATTCTGGTGCATTTATCATTTTTTTTCATAATTTATGAGACAGATTTACGAGTGTATATTGAGCTTCTCCTTCTTTAATGAAATGAGAAAATATCTCCCTAGGGCCTGGGAACTTGTCTGACTTTAATTTTAACGTTTGTTAGTGAGCTTCGCTGATACTTGCTAGAAATTTAATTGCTTTATTTTTTCTCGTAATAACATCGGTAGAACTACAGACAAAGTTTTAGGTTGACGGGCACATGTGAAACTAATGTGACATTTTATTGTGGCAACGTTCCGCTCTCCAGGAGCTTTGTCAAACTATAGCTCCTGGAGAGCAAACCGTTGCCATATGTTGCCTATGTTTTTTCTCTTCTACAAGTATTTACCTACCCTTTTTTACCTCCACAGACGATGGTATTATATCCTACGATGAGCTGAGGTGTTTCTACGCTCTGTTCATCAAGCTGCCAGAAGATCAAGTGGAACACATCACCGAGGAAGCTTACAGGGCCCTCACTTCGGTCAGTGGTGGGACAGGACTAATAGCAGTGGAAATAGCTATTTAAAAAATAGCGCATCATATTATTAGCAGATGTGGCTGCTGTTGCATTGCTTGGGGTAGCAATGTAGTAGTAGAAAGAGCAGCAATATAATTAGCAATAGCAATAGTACCAGTAGAATTACAAGCGGTAGCAGTTGTACTAGTAGTAACAGTAAAATTATAAGTAGTGCTAGTAGTTGCAGTGGTATTTTAAACAACAATAGTATTAGTAGTTGTAGTAGTAGTATTATAAGAGGTAATACTATTAGTAGTTACAGTTGTATTTTAAGCCGTAATATTTTTAGTAGTTATTGCACTGTAAGAGTAATCTGGGTTGTGTGACGTGAATTGTATCAAATTCAGAGCCGAGTATTGTTGGTCGGTAGAATGAACATCAAAAGAAGGATAATTGCGAATTCTTTGTGTTATTTGCTCTGTTTACCTCTTAGGTTATTGCAAATGCACAGCTTACACTTAAATTACTTCTTAGTGTTACTAAAAAAAATATCCCTATCTACTGGAAATAAATCCAATCTTAGACTTAGACTAGCTTAGACTAGCTGCTTTCTCGTGCAAGCTAGTTTTTATACACAATAAAAGGTTTACAAAAAAGAATTGATTAATTGGTGAAAATATATAAAAAAAAACATTTTAGTAATATTATAATAACAGTTTTAATGATAGTAGACTATTAGAAATAAGCATGAAAGTATTAACACTATTGTAAGGAAAAAGAACTACGTCTTACTTGGTTAATGATTATCGCTTGTCTTTCTCATTGCAGAGTGGTGATTTTCCCCTGACGGAGAGGGTGTACTTGATGGCATTTGCCAACTTCCTCTTAGGCAAGACGCCACACGGCCCTGGGAAGTATATCTTCGGAGGTTTCAAGGACAGCGAAGTTGGACTCTTCCAGGTCGACTACTCATGTCTTCTTGAACCAAAAGAGGATTAAATTCCTGGAGGTCCTTGAGGTTCTCTCTCGGAGCGACTGCTGATTGGTCCTTTCTGTCTTGTTGTCTCGTGCTTAAGCTCAAAGAGGACTAGCTGCTTGAAGGCAGAATTAAAGAAAAAAAAAGTATTCCAGATTGTGCTACAGGTTTTCTCCTGGAATATCTGAAAACTGATCCCTATTGCCCGTACGTCCTTAAAAGTTTAATAATTTTCTATGCTACCTACATATAGATAAGTGTGAGGTTCAGCCAATCTTTATTTGAACGATCGATGAATCCAGGACTCGACAAGTGCTTCACTTCTCTCATGGGATCTAGTCGCCAAGGCACCAAGATCTCATCACTTCTCTTCATGGAACACGGCCCTATCGAAATATCATCATAGTCTTCATCTCCATCTTCATCATCAGTGTCTGCAATCCGAATGGAGCCGCAGACTTCAGTGTCAGCTTCTTTCATCTGACAGGAGCTCTGCCTGAGCTCTTTCTCTCAACTTACGCTGACTGGAAGTAGAAAACGCTGCTCTCCTCTCATATTTTGCTTCTTATGCGCAATCTTCTATCTGAGGAAAAAGCCGAAGAATCAAGATACTTTAATCAACTTTCACTTCATGGAGCAAGCAATGCGATGTCGATCACAAGAAGCTGTTACTTCTGTGACGACGCATGCGTAACATGGTGTGGGGTGAAATATTTTGCGTCAAGTCATTATATCATGTAGTACCTGTAGCATCTCTCATGTATTCTAAGGTTTCGTAAATAAGGTGGTGAACTGTTTCTTTCTTGCTCTTTCGGAAAAAAATAATATGCTTAGCTTGAAAGTGTTTTCAATGCTTTGCATAAATCGGCGAAACAAATTGATAGAGCAACTACATGTTTTCAAGATAAACTCTTTTTAGAAACAACTGTTGATTACAGATGGAAAAACATTTTTCCTTATTTGACTCTTGATGTGGTATCTGCATCTGCACGGATTATGCAAGTGAATGGAGAGTTCAGTGTTAGTGAATGGAGAAATATATACATGTATATATATAATATATATATATATATATATATATATATATAATATATATATAAATATATATTATATATATTATATATATATATATATAATATATATATATAATATATATATATATATATATATATATATATATATATAGTGATTGAAGTGGCTTGTGTTAGTGATTCTAGAGGCCTATGTTAATTAATAAAGAGGAGTCTATGCCTGTGAATGGAGAGATATGCGCTTATGTTAGTAAATTGAGAGACCTATGTTAATCATTGAAGAGGCCTATTCTGGTGTATGGAGAGGAATTTGTTATTGATTGAAGAGTCCCATGCTACTGAAAGGAGAAGCCAACGCTAGAGAATATTAAGAACTACCACTGGCATTTTAAAGAATTAATATGCCAATGGTAGTGAACTGAGATGCTTATGCTAACGAATGGAGAGGCCAATTCAAGGGATTACAGAGTCCTACATTAGTGAATGGAGAGGTGCAAGTGAAATAAGTTGCCAATACTAATGAATAGAGAGGCGTATGCAAGTGAACG